TATAACTTACAAAATTTAGTTAAGTTCATCAAAAAGTGCAAACAATAGTAACTCAGTGCGTGTATTTGACAATGACATTAATTATTAGCAGTTAGTATTACGATGATCTAATTTTAGCACCAGTAGTATGAAACCAAAGCTTTCATGGTTACATAAGTGCAAATATACACGAAATAAATTTTGCACAAAATCATGTAAAAGTGCTTTATAATAAAAGAACAAATAAATGCAGCTTATATTATGATAAAATCCTTAAAAATAAATCAAACGCATAAACAGAATTAAAAAAAAAAAACATACAAATTTTAAATGCAAAATTTTAATTTCAATAATATATTCAATGTACATCTAATGTACTTGAATGGGTTATTAAAATTCGACCCAAATAATACTGAGGTATTGAATGATCGTGGACTGATTTATCAAAATATGGGCAAATATGAAAACTCACTTGCGGATTTTAATAAGTCATTAGAAATTAGACCAAATAATATTACAGCATTAAATAATAGAGGATTGACATATTTAAAGATGAACAAATATAAAGATTCGCTTAATGATTTTAATAAAATATTAGAAATCGCTCAGAATAATGCTGTAGCAATGGCCAATCGAGCATTTGTATATAATTTAATGGGTGAACATGAAAAATCGCTTAATGACTACAATAAGTCATTAGAAATCGATCCAAATAATATTACAGTATTACTTAATCGAGGATTGGTATATCAATGTATGGGCATCTATGAAAAATCACTTAATGACTTTAATAAGTTATTGGAAATCGATCCAAATAATATTACAGCATTAAATAATAGAGGATTAGCATATCAATATATGGGTATCTATGAAAAATCGCTTAATGACTTTAATAAAGTATTAGAAATCGATCCGAATAATATTGGAGCAATGAGCAATCGAGCATTGACTTATAATTTAATGGGTGATCATGAAAAATCGCTTAATGACTTTAATAAGTCATTAGAACTCAACCCAAATAATATTACAGCATTAAATAATCGAGGATTAGTATATCAATGCATGGGCATCTATGAAGAATCGCTTAATAATTTTAATAAAGTATTAGAAATCGATCCGAATAATATTGAAGCAATGAGCAATCGAGCATTTACTTATAATTTGATGGGTGATCATGAAAAATCACTTAATGAATACAATAAGTCGCTTAATGGTCTTAATGAAAAATTAAAAACTGACCCTAATAATGCTGGAATTTTGTGTTCTCGCGGATATGTGCGCCAATGTTTGGGAGACGAAGACTCATTTGCAGATTTAAATAGAGCTTTAGAGCTTTGTCCAAACAATTCTATAAATAAAGTTTATAACATTATGATTCGCATTATATGTAAATTTAATAAACTGTCATTGAACGGCAGATATGAAGATGTGTACGCACAATTAAAGAGAATATCAAAGTTATCGGAAAATAATATCCAAGCATGGAGTTCTCATGATCAATTTGATCAAATAGTAAACCAATGTTACGAATTGTGTGCAAATTTACTCGAAGATGCAAACGAATTATTAGAAATTGTACCAAATGACATAAAAGCATTAAATTTACGTGGTTTCATATATGAATATTTAAAAAAATATGATGAATCACTTGTAGATTTAAATAAATCTTTAGAAATCGATCCAAATAATGTTACAACACTTAATTACCGTGGCAGTACATATAAATCAATGGGCAGATACGAAGATTCGCTCGCAGACTTTAATAAAGCTTTAAAAATTAAGCCAAATGATGAAGAAATATTATTAAAACTAGTATTTACTTATCAAGATATGGGTAAATACAAAGATTCACTCAAAATTATTAATAAAATATTAGAAGACAAGCCAAATAATGTTATAGCTTTGCAACTTCGTAAATTTATTTATAATATTTTGGGTAAGCATAAAGAATCACTTGAAGACATAAATAAATTACTTGAAATCGATCCTGACGATGTTTCAACGCTCAATTATCGAGGATACATTTTTCAAGAAATGGGTGAGTATGAAAAATCCCTTGAAGATTTAGATAAATCATCAGAACTCATACCAAATAATACGGAAGGATTTATCTTCAGTGGATTAACTCACAAGATGATGGATAGATTTGAAGATTCACTTGAAAATTTAGATAACTCAGTAAAAATCAATTCTAAAAAATTTGATGATTCAATCAAAAAATTAAATGGATCATTAAAAATCAAAAAAGAATATTATGCTTTAGAATTAAATATTCGTGGATCAACTTACAGTATGATGGGTAGATATGATGAATCACTTGAAGTTTTAAAAAAATCATTGGAAATTGATCCAAGTAACTCTACAACTTTAAATAACCTTGGATTAACTTATCAAGCCATGGAAAAATATGAAGACGCACTTGAAATTTTAACAAGATCACTAGAAATCGAACCGACTGATTATAAAATATTGAACAATCTTGCAGCAACTTACCTGAAAATGGGTAGATATGAAGATGCACTTGTAGAATTAAATAAAGCATTAGAAATAAGACCTAATAATGAAACGACATTAAATAATCGTGGATTGACTTATCAATTATTGGAAAGATATGAAGAATCACTAGAAGATTTAAATAAATCATTAGAAATAAGACCAAATGGTATTATAACATTAAGCAATCGTGGATTTACTTATCGAGTTATGGGAAGATATGATGAGTCAATTAAAGATTTAAATAATGCTTTAGGAATTAAGTCAAGCAACATAAAAATTACAAATAGATACGAAAATACTTCTATGAGGTTTGGAACTTGTGCAAATTGTAATCAATATAATACTGGATATGCCTTTTGCCATTCTTGTGATCCTTATATAAATCAAAGTTGGGATAGTGGAAACAATGAAGTGGATAAATTGATTAAAGAATTTATTAACAATGCGCAAAAGAAATCAGAATATTATAATAAAGTAATTGAATGGATACCTTTTGAAAGATTAAATGATATTGAAAAAATTGGAAAAGGTGGTTTTGGAACGGTATATTCTGCAATTTGGATCGATGGCAAAAGGAAATACGTAGCGACGAAGGATGAAAATAAAAATAAAACATTAACGACGTCTCGTGAACAGAATTGCATGGTTGCTCTAAAAAGCATAAATGAATGTAATAATCCATCAGATTTTCTGAATGAGGTAAAGATAATTTACAGAATGTAATTGTTTATTATAAGTAATATTATTAATAAATTTATTCTTTGTCATTTAAAGTTTAAAGCTTATTATGATTGTCAGTTTAAAAGATACGATGTAGAGAAATATGGAGTAGAAACATATGGAATTACTTATGATCCAGATGAAAACAGATATATGATAGTATTTGAATATGCAGATAAAGGGGATCTTGGAAAATATATATGCGAAAATTTTTCAACTCTTAAATGGACACAAAAAATAGAAATTCTTTGCTCAATATCTGATAATTTAAATCATATTCATCAACAAGAATATATTCATAGAGACTTACATAGCGGTAATATACTTATGACAAGTGCTTGGGATTTTAAAGACCTTGAAATTCATACTTTTACTTTAGGTAGCAAAATAGTAGTGGTTTCACAAAATGATATGAACAAACATAAACTAGGTGTTGAGCCAAAAATTGCAGATTTAGGATTTTCAAGAAAAATAGATAATGCAGTAGAAAATTCAGAGGTATATGGTAGAAGGCCCTATGTTGCACCTGAAGTAATAAAAGGAGGTGCACAGAATTATGCCAAAAAATCAGATATTTATAGTTTAGGAGCAATCATGTTAGAGATGTCAACTGGAAAACCACCTGAAATACAACCAAGATTTGCTTCAGGAACGCCTAATTGTTATATACAACTTGCAAGAAAGTGTATGCACGAAAAATCATCAGAACGGCCGACTGCCGAAGAGGTTTATAAAACGGTTCAAGAGTGGAAAGAAATTCTTAAGAAGGAAGAAAAAGAATTAAAAGATGAAAAACTTGAAATAAAGTTAGAATTTTTATTTGCTGACAAAATTTATTCAGCATCGTCAACAACTTCGCAAGAACATATTTCATCAACACATTTGCAACATAATTCTTATGAGCTAGAAACTAATCTTAGCTGGTAAAAGAATGCAAAATACTATAATATTACGAAAAGAACATTCATGGTAGTTAATTAAGGATATTAAGATAACGAAAGGCAATGTATTTGGGTTTACTAATTTCTCACTTCCCATTGGAAGAAACCAATTGCATCACTGATTAGGGTGGCTAAAATTTCATCTACCATCTAATTAAAGAATAAATTACTCTTTAAATTTCATGATTACATATTTATTAAAAAAAATTTTTTTCTCTTTTTTTCTTTTTTAAATAATTCTTTTCGCTCTTTAACACAAACATTTTGCTCTTTTGAGTTTTAGCGCTTTCAAGTTTTTTTAGAAAATAATTTCATGTGAATGATTTAAATAAATTTTCGCTAATTTTATAAAAATTTACTGTATCGTGTAAAATTTTTATTTGAAATAAATATACCAACTTTAAACCATACTGCTATACAAAAATCCGAAGACAAAATAAGTATTAATGTTTTCTTTCAGTATTACTAATTAGTAAAAAAAGCACCTATTACAGTATTGTATCAAGGTTACTGTACAATTTCAAAATCTATTTTCCTGAATGATCATAATACTAAATATTTCCTTTCGGGAAAATGGCTGAGAACTTGAATTACATTTTTGTTTTAGTATTAAAACAAATCCATTATTAGCAATTTGCAGTAGCATTTTATTTATTTGTAGTATTATATCAGTATCAGTAAAAACGAACTTGAACCATTTCAAATGTTCGTGTTAATTATTTTTTAAACAAAAGTAAAAATCGCGACCCAGAATATAGTTAGAGAGTAAAGTATCGAACAAAAACTTTATAAAAATTTTCTTGGTTGTGTCAGAAGCACCTATTTTTCGTCAATGTTTTTTTTTTTACTTGCAGAAAAAATTCTAGAAGTATAAACAAAATACTTTCGCATAATAGAAATATTTTGATTTTTATTTTGTTTGAAATAATTTCTTTCAACCGGTGGTAACTTTACCTGTCACACGACAGATTGTCATACTTACAACATATCCCATGTCAAATCTCTCTTATTCTTTCTTTCTTCTCTTTATGCTCATTTCACCGACAAGTTTTTTTTTTATAAATTATACTAACTTTAGCTATAATTCTAACCTAACCCAGGGCCACGTAAAATTTTGGAAATAAAATTTTCCTAAATATTTGCACTTAATCCATCAAGATTTCCAAAATTTTACGTTTTACCCAAAATTTCCCGATTTTTTGGGATTACATATATCTAACCAATAAAAATAGGTCTTTATACATGTGATCCGACCAATAAAAAAATGTTCGATTTTTCGATAGCTTGTTCTTTGAACACACTTAGATTTACTAAACCTACTGAAGTTCACATATACTTTTTATAACTACTCTAATGTGAATCCTAATATAACCTAAAAATTGCACCTAAAATTTCATATTTCAACATCAGTCGCGACAAAAATTATGGAGTTTACACTTAATATATTCGCACCAAGTCTTTGACAAAGGTGCATAAACTGGTACAAGACAATGTTTTTTTGAATAAACAAGTACTTTAGTCAACGCAAATAATAAATTTTAATAGAAAAA